CTGGCCAGGGGATTTGAGTTGCCAGCCATTAGCAGTTGACCAGTGCATTTTGTCTCTCCCCACAAGTCCCCAGGGGGCCCCAGTGACTCCCAGCCAAGGCAGGCAGTTAAGCCAAGCAAAAAATAGCCTCCATGAAAACCCTGTTGGTTGCCTCCCTCCATGAGCCTCAAACCCAGCTTGGCAGAGGAGAGACAACACAGTAAAGCAACGCTTGGAAGACATCTTTTGATGTTTATCCCAAGGGGTCCCATGACACTGCAGTGTGCATTAAACTCCATTAAAAGCCAAGGCACCACCTTATGACCACATAGCTTTGCTTATAAGATAAAGTGACAGTGGCACTTTTACATTGTTCTTGGGTTGGAGAGGAAAAGGCTCCTTGGAGAGTGGAAGAAGCTGGAGGACAAGGAAAGGGAGCTGCCCACTGAGTGCAGCCAGCCATTTTCCTTTCTCAGGCTGTTTGGCAGGGTGCCTGGCCCCACCCCCTGAGTCCCAGAGAGCCCCCAGACCCTGCTGGGCTCTGGCAAGCCCTACTATCTAAGTCACCAGGCAGCCTTGTCAATTTTAATGAACCACGGTTACCTGTGATTGGTTGAAATTTTTCCATGGCCACTCCAGACAGCATGAAGGCAGGCTGGCCAGGTCATGGGGCATGGACCACTCTGGGTGGGGGCACCTGGGGGTTGGTGGGGAATACAGTGGTGGGGCCAAATTGGGCTCTCCCACCTCGAGCTACTCAGCAGAGCAGCCTGGGGACTGCAGTTGTGGCTTTTCCCTCCCCCACAAAAGCCCTAGCAAATAAGAGCGCTTTTCCCTGCCAGCACTAAGACTGTCCAAGCAGGTGGTCAGTGCCCACCTACCCCTGCCACAAGCCCCAGGGAGTCAGGGAGAAGCTGAGACATGGGTGACCCCAGAGAGCCCCCAGACCTGGCCTGGCTCCAGCAAGATCAGCGCTCTGAGCCAGCAGGCGGCCTTATCAATTTTGATGACATATGGTTACCCACAATTAACTCAAATTTTTCCACGGCTGTTCCAAGCAGCATGGAGGTGGGCCAGCCAGGTTACAAACTGGTCCATGAAGGGGTGCTGATGGTTGGAAGTAACAAGGTCAGGGTCCAGGTTGGGTCTCCATAAGCTGGGAATTCCTTCCTGGGCCAGAGGCAGTAGCTCCCCGAAAAGTTCCTTCCCTCACTGCTCCCACCTCCCAGCCACCCCAGGAAGCACAACCAGAACCCCCACATCCCAATCCCAAATCCCAGTTTATTAGAACATGAGACCTTCTTTAATTTACTTCCTCTTAATTTCTTTTTAAGTTCTTTTTTCTTATTCTTTTTTTTTCTTTCTGTAGCTGACTTTCTTCATTTCACCACCCTTCCCCAACCCTCATTTCCTTTCCACCTCCCATTTCATTACCCACCCCCATTCCACTACCTCTCCACCTCCCAGTTTCATGTTCACTCCCTGGCCTTCAACCCATTTATCTAAAATACCTACAGTAGGGATAGAAGCCTATCCTGGCTCACCAGCCCTCTGGTAATAACTCATAGCAATGGCTCCTAGTCTGGCACCTATGGCTGAGATTTGCAAAAAGGGGTAGATAGGCATGTTACAAAGTTGTCATAAAAGATTTGGAACCCTCTAAATCCCATTCATTTTAATGGAAGTTGGCCTTTTGATTCAGCTTTGAAAATCTCAGCCCAAGGTGCCAACCAAATAAATCAAAATTTATTTTGCATTTCTATGCAGTGCATCTATGTGGGGCTCTCCAAGCATTTTACAAACATTAAATGAGCCTCAGGACATCCCTGCTTTTCTGAAGAAATGTGGTGGTGAGGACATTCTGGTAACGTCTCTCACTCTCTGTGTGTGATCTGCTTCGACTGTCCTTGGACCACCCTCACTGCCTCATTTCCTGTTCAGAGCAGGTAAAAGTGTAAGTGAAAGGGCTTATTTTTTGGCAGCAGGTTTGAGTGGCTTGAAGCTAGTGAAGATGTACTCACAATTAGCCACTGACCAGAGTGGGAACATAGTTGTCCTCACTTATTAATGTGGCCCCAAGGCCCTGCAATGTCTCTGCCTACATGTTGCTTTCATGTCCTCTTGCTTTCCAAAATCTCATGAGAGTAGAGGATTCCCATCATGCCTACTGGACTGCTGTCACCGGACAGCTGTCCTGGTTCTAAGGTTGTGCTTCTGACTCTTCCGTGGCGTGACCAGAGTGGGAACATAGTTGTCCTCACTTATTAATGTGGCCCCAAGGCCCTGCAATGTCTCTGCCTACATGTTGCTTTCATGTCCTCTTGCTTTCCAAAATCTCATGAGAGTAGAGGATTCCCATCATGCCTACTGGACTGCTGTCACCGGACAGCTGTCCTGGTTCTAAGGTTGTGCTTCTGACTCTTCCGTGGCGTCTTTTAGGGTGCACACTTAGAACTCCGGCTTTTCCTTCCGGCCCATTTTGCTGAATTGTGATTATTCCCACAGGGCATGAATTTAATTCAGTGGCTATGATTCTGCTTTCTCATACAGAGGCAATGACTCTCACAAAGTATGGCATATTTTAGTAGGATAAAAACATTTTGAAGGTCACACAGAAAGCAAAAAGCATTTTTTACTCACATGAGCGTACCAGGTATCAACCACTTGCTACTTGGATTCCTGGCAGGTACAGACACAAATTTATTAGCACGTTGTTCCAGAGTGAGTCTCTGTGCCGTAGCCTACATCAAGTCTCAGATCTAGGGAGCCTGACCCCTCCCCAGCCATAGGCTGGTCACGTTATACCAATCTGCTGGCCAGTGCAGACCCAGATGGGCCCCTCCCATTCTCAGATCTAGGGACCCGGCCCCCCCCCCAGCCATAGGCTGGTCACGTTATACCAATCTGCTGGCCAGTGCAGACCCAGATGGGCCCCTCCCATCCCCAGAAGCATGTAAGAAGCCAGCCTAAGCTCCATGCCACTTTTCGTGGCCAGTGCTGATCCAGCTGGGTCCATCCCATCTGGAGCAGCATGCGGCTGAAGTCAGCTTCTCATGAGCTGCTGGGGACGGGAGGAGCCCGGCCAGGTCTGCACCAGCCAGCAGAAGTGGCGGTGGAGCTGTGTGCCGCTCAGGACTGACCAGTGCATGAAGGGGAAAAATGCAGCTGAGCCCCTGCTTCTCCAGCCGGGCTCGTCCCATCCTAAGCGGCACATGGCTCCGCCGCCACTTCTGCTGGCTGGTGCAGACCCGGCCGGGCTTCTCCCATCCCCAGCAGCCTGTGGGAAGCCAACTTCAGTTGCATGCCACTTTTCCTGGCCAGTGCTGACCCAGCTGGATCCATCCCATCCAGAGCAGCATGTGGCTAAAGCCAGCTTCCCACCTGCTGCTGGGGATGGGATGAGCCCAGCTGGGATGGCAAGGGGA